AGATGGTTTAGACATGGATGATTCTGCCTTAAGGAAGGGTTAGACTAAATGGAGCCATTGATTGTGACCTTTCTTATATAAAATTTGCATGAGCAAAGTATAATAATGTCTAACAATGCTGAGAGCCTCAGGAGGAAAAGATAGGAGCTGCCATAAACAAGGGGGAGAACACCTTTTTCTCCGTTGCTGCACAGAGTAGGATCCAAAGCAAGCAGCAAGTTAAATTATACTTGATATGTCTGTAAAAATATCCAGGGCAATTTTGAGCTTGATGTGCAAAGGTATTGTAGTGTGAAAGGGAGGTGATGTTCCCATTTATTTATATGGGGTAGAATTTTATTTTTCCTGTGTGTCTAAGTGGTCATGTACAAGATATTCTTGCCACTTACACACAGTTTGCTATTCTATTTCCGCTACACTGTGTCTGTGTAAGCTTGCACACGTACACTGAGCATGCACATTTAGCTATACACTGGCCAGGCAGGTGCATAACTGTATATGTGCACCCATTCTGGATGCATGTCTTTATCTCAGTCCCCAAAACACAGCCAGCCAAAAACCCATCACAAGCAGGTGTTAGCCTCTGGAGGAGGAGAGGATCCTCCATGGTTTAGCTTCAAATCCTAGGGGTTAGGGTACTCACTCATGAAGCCAAAGGCCTGGTTTCTAGGCCACCTTCATTTAGAGAGGGCTTGAAGCTGTCTTTCTCTGAATTGTAAACACAGTACTATATGCACAATGCATCACTCCACAGGTTAGACAGTTTCCACTTATGCATGCAGGACAGGCTCATGTCTAAAACAAACAACACTGGGGACAGCAATATGGGGCATTTTCTGTTTTATTTATGTATTAGATTTATTTTCTGCCCTCCCCAGAAAAGGCTTAGGGAGGCTTATAATAAAACCTAAGATAAATTATAAAAAACCCAAATATTAAAATAGAATAATATGTAATAAACAACAAATTCCCCAAACAGTGCCCCCCAAATTAGTCCCTCCTACTAAAAGCCTGCCCAGAAGAAAAGTCCTTGTAGGGGCCTGGATCAGATGATCTGTAAGGTCCCTTCCAGCCCCTAACAACTATGAAACTATGAAACACTTTCTGAAGATGTCCAGGATCAGGCTTCCAGTGAGAGGAAAGAAAAAAGCTTCAAACCAAAAGCTTTTCCAAACCAAACCAAACCAAAACAAACAAAAAACCCCAAAACATACTTTTGAGATTTTTCAGTGGAAAATGTATATCTCCTTCAGGAAAAGAAAAAACATACAACAATAACAATAAATATTTTCTAACCAACATTACTGAAAGCAGATACCTTCAGGAGAGATCTCCTCTGTCATCCTAACACACATCTTCCAAATAATGATTTTGTTTTCCTATGGACTTGAGAAAAAATGAGAAGGGGCATTGTCTTATATCCCAACTTCCACACAGAAGGAAGCACTGTGCCTCCTTCCCTTAACTTCCCAAGTGAATAAAAGGCTTTTGGAAGAATGGAGGACTGCAGTACGCAGTCTTACCTTTATTCTTATCTGTCCTCCATCACTGTCCTGCGGGGACCCTCACCAGCTGGAAAACTGCTCAGCTGTAGGCAGAAATGGCTCTGTGGGCAGCTGGCAGCAGAGACAAGGTGGCTTCCCTACCCCAGTTGCCCTTATTCCAATTCAGGGGAGAAGTTAAGGGTGCAGGAAACTGAAAGTGGAAGAACATGGAAACCAGAGAAACTGGAGAAAGATAAAAGGAATTTGGGAGAAAGGGAGAAGAGGCAAGGGGAATGTGAGGTCAATGCTAGGTCCCAAGGAGAGGGCAGAGGGACTGTGACAAGGAAAAAAGGGAAGCAAATGGGGAGCCGAGGCATGGGGAACTTGAGGGAGAAACAAGGAGCTGGGAAGTGGAAGTGTGAAGGGGGAAAGAGAAGCCAGAGGGAGGACAAGAGGTTCTTGTAAGAAAACCAAGAGAGACTGCAGCAGCCCATATCTGCAAAGCAGCTCCGTGCCTTATTCTGTGATCCCGTCAACTTCAAGACAAAATAACTCCCTTGGCTGTTATACAAGTGGAGAGAAGCAGTTTAGTATCTTGCAAAAGTGTGGATGCGTAAAGGGGGGCAATCAGAGTAAAGAGGACCAGCAGCTCTGCTTTTGTCTTCGTGCCATGGCTGTGAGGGTCTTTTCCAGGCTGGTCAGACTGCTGGTGTAACTTGCTGCCCCAAAAGAGATCCAAGGACAGGGTTCTCTATACACTTATGCTCAGGACACTCTTGGGAAATACTCGTAGGGTCTGGTGAAGAGATAACTGGACTGGAGAAATAGGGTATGAAGTTCTGATGGCAATCCACTGGCCAAGGAGGTGTGAATAAGAGGGAGGAATGAAAATTCATTACAGAGACATGAGGATTATAGCTAGGAATTATAATAATGGTAGTAGTATTGTCTACTTTTTGGTTGGGTCCTCTGGAAGCCCCAGGAAAAGATCGGGTACTCATTGTGCTATGTATTGTGCAGATATATAGCTAGAGTCCAACATTTATACTCCAAATAGATGAAACAGACATTGGCTGGGAATAGGATGAAACGGAGAAAAGGAAGTTTTAGGCTGGACTCCAGGGCTAGGGACAGAAATTACACAGAAACCAGTATAAGTGATCAGAAACTGGTTCAAATCTGTAACACAACAGAAGTTCAGTGCACTTAAACCGCTTTCAAAATGACTGAAACTAGTTTAAGATAAACTGGATGGATATAATATAAGACTTAACTGATTTAGGTTAAATTGGTTTATTGAACTTCTGTCCCAGATCCCCTCCAGATTCAAGTTAACTCACAGTCCTCTTGCATCCCAGGGTACTTTGCCTCAGTGGGCAGGCTAGCCTTGGCCCAAGCTGTCTGTTCCAGCCAAGCAGGGAGTTGTGCTCTAGTACCCCCGGCTTCTGGCATGAACTATGGCAGGCATGTGGCTGCATTTCCTGAATCTAAAGTGAATATCTGTTCACTTGCTTGGTTGTTCAATCTATGCATCTTAAATTAACCTGTGAAGACTGAATGATTCAGTTTTGGGCTTTTTGACTGTCTGTCAAAACGTCCTGACTTATGCCAGGACTAACTTCCTGACTGTGTGAGTTAACAGGCTATGGAGTTGCTCCCCTGGACAAAGTCAGAAACCCTAGCACTTGACATAACACTAGGGAGATCCACTGGACAAATCATCAGTGAAAACTTCTCTGGAGCCACATGTGCCACATGTGGCAACCACTCTGGGGCTGCACTGTACATGGCGGCCACTCCACTGCTCTGGGGCTGTGCTGCATGGGGCAGCCACTCTGGGACCCGCCACTGGATCCAGCAAAGTGCTGACATGCTGGAGTGGCTGCTGTATGTGGTACGGCCCCAAAGTAGGCACTATGTGCAGCGTGTGGGGCCATCTGATATGCCCAACATGCTACCTATGAATCAACTCCAAGACCCACAGAAAGCACTGGGGGCTGAATGATAGGGCACTGTGGGCTGGATATGACCCATGGGCCATATCTTTGACACCCATGCATTAGAGGTTATGTACCACACTGAGCTTCAGAAATAAGCATGAAGGAAGTACTGAATACAAGGGCTGTCAGTTTGCTAAGTAAAATGAGCAATTTAATGCTAAACTGGCTAGGGCAATGGAGACAAGCACCATGCTTGGAGTGGTTACAGAACATAAGAAAGGGGAGTCACAGTGCATATGAAAGAGCAGAGTGTAGCAGGAGACCTGCTCTCTCCATGACTGTGTGATAGAGTCCTGCCAGCCACAAAATGGTCCCAAATGGCCAGCTCTTATATGAGAATGCTAGAGGAACAAAGGAAGGCTCATTACATCTTCATTCCCATTGCGTGTCTGGGTAGGGGCAGGCCACAACCTGACCCAAAATGTTCAACATTTAGAAAGCAGGGACATTAATAACTCTCTGAGACTGTAATCACAAAGAGCTGTGATAGTAACAGTCTCTGTTGCTTTTTACGAACAGCTGCAAAAATAAGATACGTTGCTGGAAATTAGGTTTGAGTGTTTTCAAGTGCAGCATTTACATCCCTTTTCAAGCCCTTCACATCTCCCTAATCTGCACTTAAACCTCCATCCAGCTGGAATGGAACAGCAGGATGTACCAACAGGTACTTACAGCTGCATGCGATGGATAAGGGTATTTCCCTCCTACACCTGCAGTACCAGCTGCTGGGGATGAGCTAAAGGGAAAGTACTAACAGGAGGTTCTTATGTGAAACATGAAATAAATTTGTTGTTTCTGAAACCAAATTAATTCCATGTACGGGTCCTCACAACAAGTGGGTGTCCAAGTACACCCTGAATTTGCCCACTTCCTTTATAACATTGACACTGGCCAGTAGCATGTCTGTCATGACTTTGTAGTGTGTGCTCACAGAGCTGACACTGGTTTCCTGTATTGCTACCTTTCTCTGCCTTACCGTCCTGTTGCTCTAACTATGGGACCAGTCTCTTACTCTTCTGGAATTCAGAACTGCAACATCAGAAGATGGATATCCTCCCAGCAGCATCCTCCCAGCAGCATTTCGAGAACCCAGGTCTACCCAGTCTGCTCAAGTTGGGAGGCAAAGAAGTTTTATGCTAAAACTTCCCTGCTCAGTTTGCCACAACAAAGGAGTATGTTTGTCTTAAAAATATGCAATTATTTTAGACACTTTCTCAGCAACTGGATTTCTGATTTGCCTAACGGAGCAATGGCTATTGAAATCCACTGCTGTAAATTGCTGTCTTTGTTTCAGATTGATGTGTTTGCTAGCTCTGCTAATGCACAAGTGTTGGATTGGGCTGACTGCTGAGAAGGTGAAACCCTGTTGCAGACACGGCTGCTTCTACCTTGTCCCTGCACATCTGGCATCATGCCCTTGACTAGTATAGGGGTGCTATTGCCAACTGACATTGTACATTCTTTCCTCCCTCCCCTTTCTCCACCTCTGACCTCTTGTTGTGTGTTCCCCCCACAGAATGTGATTGCCATCCCGTGGGTGCAGCTGGCCAAACCTGTAATCAAACCACAGGTCAATGTCCCTGTAAAGATGGTGTGACTGGCATCACGTGCAATCGATGTGCCAAAGGCTACCAGCAAAGCCGATCTCCCATTGCCCCCTGCATAAGTATGTGGACCGCTCTTTTTGAAGTCTGTACTATAGTGGAATTAACCCATTAAAAATCAACCTCAGCTACTAAGGGTAGTGTTACAGGCTACCTTTAAACCATTCTAAAGGCACTTAAAACAGGAGCATCCATGGATTAAATGGTGGTAAGCTGTGCTAGATAGCCTCTAAGCATCTTAAAGTTACACCAGTTTGGGCAAGAGTTATCTCTGAAGTGTTCTACCTAGCTTGAGCTAGGTTATTGTTAGTCTACTCCATGGAGATAAAGTGACTAATTTGCAGTCACCCAGCATCCCATGATGCACAGCTCCCAGTCCCATTACCCCTGACAAACTTTCCACCCTCCCAAGCTCTATTGCCCATGGGGTTGTACTGGCCCCAAGCCAACACCCCACCTGTCCTCAGTGGGTATGATCCCAGCCCACATGGCACCACACCGCTGACTCCTCATGCAGGTGCCAGGCATGTGCCCCTCCACTCAGAGGGCTAAGCCTTTGCCCTACATCTGGGCAGCATTCCCCTACCCAAGAGAATTGGAGGTGAAGTGGGGGTACAGCCTCTCTCTCCAGCCTTTCACATTTTTGGGGAGGTAACCAGGAAGGGGCTTCCTAGCACTGCATGTGGTGAGAACATGGAGCCCAGAAAGGCATGCTTTCCCAAGCGCCACACTCTCAGTGCGCTTAAGCCCTGGGGTCTGGTCCCAGAGGAGGGATAGAGTCCTGGCTCTTGGCCATGCCCCTGCTCACCAGGCTCTCTAGTGCTAAGTCAAAGTTTTTCAGGTCAGGTTGCATTAAGCCTTAACCTGCAGCTGCTCTGAACCTGTTCTAACTTGAACACCACCAGCAGTTTTAGAATGGTTTAAAGATGACTTGTAACATCATCCTGAGATTATAACAGGTTGAGTGATTACTAACACTCATATGTTCCATTACTAGTGCTCAACTGAAAATACATTTGTGAAATTTGAATTAGACTGCATGTAATAGGTGTCTGTATGCCTACTACATATACATTTTACATGCATCTCATTTGCTAGACTGGCTAGGTTATGTGAGTGTCATCTAAAACCTATTTCATCTAAAGACTGAGTAGTTTAAATGATTCATTTTGCTTTGAAGACCTTTCCCTAGCTCATAGGGAGACATGGATATATATTTCTTTTGCAATGCTATCTTAATCCTGCTTGCTATGGTAAATTGCTATGATGTTTTTCCCTTCTTCCAGACCATGTTGCTTTGTATTGTCAAGGTTCTTCAGCTGAAACCAGCTAATTACCTGGGTTCATTATTATCAGTTGCTGTCATCATATATTGAATAGATCCCCAGGTATGCCCACCCAGATGGTTAAATGGGACCTTCCACTCACACAATCTAGCCAGAGATATGGGACATTTGACTTTTTTGTTTATCTTTTAACATTAGTTTGGGTTTTAAATACTGTTTCAGACAGCAGCAGCAAAACACACTAGGTTGCAGCTTCCAATATTTCTTGTCACAATGCCTTCCTTTCTAAAACTGTGTGCCCTCTTTTTATATCCCTATATAAACCAGCCCAGGGCAGATCGAAAACATCTGCACCAGTAGCCATGTCTCATTCTGTGTCTTTGTGAAATGCTAAATCTCCTTAACTGAACAGTTCCCTCTGCTGCCTGTTGTCTTTGCTGCTGCTGAATAGTTTTGTGCCTTCACATGATGTAGGTTGTCAATTTACTCTATCTCTACCTCCCTTAAAAAACCAAATGACAAAATCATGGCTGTAAGAAGCAAAACAAAATAAAACAATAAAAGTACAGCAGTTGGAGAAAGCAGTGGGGCTACCATTGCAGTAGAAGTAGCCTTTCTTGTATGTGCTAACTTCCTGGTGTAAAGAAAAAGAAAGAAAGATGAAGGTTGAAAGAATCAAGTCTTTGTCCAGGACCTAGTCTATTTCAGCACTGTCCATTCCCAATGTCTTTTTGAGATGAGGACTTTTTAAATATGGGTGATGCCCCCTTTCTACTGTTTGTTACTGAATAAAACATGTATTCCACGGTGGATTTTGTTCACTTGAGATTAATTCTTCCTCGTGATGCAATGGTGTGGTAAAAGCTATAACCAGATGCTTGTTTCCCAAGATGGCATAATCATGACATTCCGGTTGCTTTGCAACAAGTATGCACAAAGGTTTATCGCTAACAATCCAGACTGCCATGGTAAATCAGACGGTAAGTAGCTCCTTGCATCACTTGCCCTACGGTTCATGGCACTCAATACAGACAGACACAGAATTTCAGCATGCTCATACAGGCATAGGTTCAGCACTGCATGGATCATACTCATGCTCACAGAATCAGCCTACTAAGAAGTCAATCTGTTTCAGTGCCAGACTAAAAGAATAGTAGGCTTCCAGCTAGTGTCTGGATGTCTGATTGTAAATACTTCTTTTAATTTAAAGAACATGAAGGCACTCTCCTGTGGCAGGGATAACAAGAATTATGGATCTGAAAGACTTTTAAACACTTCCATGATTAATCCCACTAAAAACTTATTACTGATTCTTTACCATTGTAAAATATGTTAAGGAACCCAGATTTTGAGGGAACTACATTTTGAATACTTTCAGAACCTAGGGCTGGTTATAAAGTCCTGCTCCACTAGGCAATGACCAGTATTTTTATACATACACACATATATAATAACTGATGACATTTTGCCAGCTGAGTCTCAGTACCTGCTCACTCTACCTTTACAGTAATTGTAATGAGAAAAAATACTTCTAGCATAAGTAATAGAGCTGTGTGAAGCTTTGGTCCCTAATTTGACTCGGTGGAGATTTGACCTGATTCGGTGGCTGAACCTCCGAATCCGAATCGAATCAAGAGACCCTTTAATCTCTCCAAATCTAATTGGAACCCTCCGAGTTGAATCAGAGAGATTCAGAAAGATTCGGCAATTCGGACATAGACACAGCTTTAAATGTTATTTTGACATACCTCTAGGTAGGAGGGGCTCATGAACGCTGCGATGCTGGGGTGCATGGGGTGTCCCACAGGAGCGCGGGGGTGGGGGCTCCCCAGCTCACTTGGCAGCAGACCCAAAAGTGGAACAGAAGCACTTCCGGTCCACTTCCTGGTCCACCGGGGAGCACGGGGGGCACCTGGGGTTCCCCTATGGCTGATCCCTGAGCTGGGGTGGTGTAGGGGAGTGGGGAAGTACTTCTGGGTTTGCCACTGAGCACATGAAGGGCCCCTCACACTCCTGTGGGACGCTCCATGCACCCCAGCATCACAGCGTTCACAAGCCGTGCTGGTACCTCAAGGTACTTAGAAAAAACATTTAAAACTGTGTCTATGTCCGAATCGCTGATTCTCCAAATCAGCATCAAATCTTCAGAATTTGGATTCAGCCAGATCAAATCGGGGACAGGGATCCGAATCAACAAATCAAATCACTGTCCCTGATTTGGGCTGAATCCGAATTGAATAGGGCCTGCTTCACACACCCCTAATAAGTAGACGAGTACAATTTTGCCAGGGTAATATTGTTGAAACAAGGGTGTTTCAGAAAGTAATGGCAACTTCAAAATAAAAAATTGTGTATGCAGTGAGTGGGATGCTGCACAGCAGCGGGGAACACCCTGGGGGTCTTTAAGAAGAGGCTGGATGCCTACCTCGCTGGACTCATTTGAGTCCCGTTTCTCTTTTTGGGGTTTTTTGTTGTTCTCCTGCCCTGGCGGGGGGTCGGGCTAGAAGATCTACTAGGTCCCTTCCGACCCTTAATCTATGAATCTATGAAAACCCATTGTTTATGACTATGTAGAGAACTGGATATACAACAGTTTTATTTCAAAATTGCCATTACTTGCTGAAACACTTTCATATAATACAATAGATGTGTGCTGAATGTATAAAGCCAAAACTGTTAATATGGAGAAATCTGTTTACACACACACACACACACACACACACACACACACGCGCGCGCGCGCGCGCGTTCTCCTCACGGTTCTCTCTCTTTTTTTTCAACTAGTTCCACATTTGTATCCTTAAAAAAATGCCAATCAGCCTACTGTAAAATTTTAATGTAGTGCAATACCTATGAAGCATCCTTTCCAAGTCACAGACTCAGAGAGAGCAGGTATAGCATGATTAAGCCAAATTTCTGCACCTGTCCCACAGGAGTATGTTTAACTTTCTGATATCACTCTCTGATTTACCATTGCCTATAATTTTACCATCCCAAATCCTGGAGATTTCCATCTATGTAATTGCCCAGTCTGTGTGATAAACAACAATATACTCAGGGTATTGTTACATGTCTGCGCAGGCTACAGTAACAGAAATGACCGTGTCATAAATATACCCTTGAACCTAAACATTAGCAGTGTATAGTGTGGTTTTTATTTATTTCAAAAGGAGCCACACAAGTTCAGGGATAGCCAGATTTTAAGTCTTAATATATATTGTATTCTCCTCTGAGTAAATCCAGCTCTCATAGTCACATGACAGATTTTAACTGATATTCTGTATTCTCCTACATGGATTTCTAGTAATGTACAGAAATGTCAGAGCTTTGCTCTAAACAGAAAAGATTTCATTACAAGAGCTGTCCATGTGCCTTCAGACTCAATCATCTAATTTAAGTCAGGACCATTTACTGTACCTTATCTATAGTCCATCTTTGTGACAAATTCTCAGCTCCTATTTTATATCCACCTGGGCAATGCAAGCAGCAGCCTCTCTATCCCATAAGACTGCTTTTGGTTCTCCTATGTAACATTTTGCTGCCTCACTCTGACATACGTAAAACTGTGAGAGCAACTGCCACATAGGTGTAGTCAGTAAAACCAAGCATGACATACAGTCCCGTCTCACTGAAGTGTGATACAATGTTCTCCCTCATTTTTTTCATTTTTCTCTTTGCCCCCTGCACAGAGATTCCTGTTGCTCCACCCACCACTGCAGCTAGTAGCACGGAAGAGCCTGCAGGTACGTTGTCTTCTTTCTTTTTAACCCAGCCCAGGCTGCATTCATGGAAAACAGATTTTGTAAAAGGGGGGCAAGGAAGCAATTGCTTGGAAGGAATCATAAAATCATAGTTCTGGAAAGGACCTCAGTGATCATCTGGTCTAACCCCCTGTGGAAATTTAGGACAGATTATTCCCAAACCATTCCATATGTTTCTCCAGCTTCTTGAAATCCTCCAGCGAAGGAGATTCCACAACTTCTCTGAGCAGCTTGTTCCATTGTCCAACTGATCTGACAGCAGGGTTTTTTTCCCTGAGACTTAATCTAAATCTGCTTTGCTGCGGTTCAAACATTTAAGTGTCATTTAAGATAATCATCTAGACTGACAACCATTTTGGTGTAGAGGGGGCTGAAGTTGGATTTCCACATAGTCCTTTGGTTTTGTTAGGTATACTGGGATAAGCTAACACCAGTTAAAGCTCAGAACGTTTTTGCTCAGTCTTCATAATCTCTGTGTAGATGTTCAGAGAGGTAGACTTTTCTAGGGCTTTGCACCAGGTGAACACACAGATAAAACTAAGAGACTTTTTTGAGGGTCTGTATTTATATACCCATAAATATGGCCTTCTACTTGAAAATACCTAGTGCAGTACCTGCAACTGATGTGTCACATCAGTATGAACTAAGGATTGGAGATCAAGATTTACCTCCATGTTTACAAGTCTTTGCTTGCTTCACGGTGCCAGGGTCCCAGTTCAGTTGTTCTCAGCAGGACTGTAGCATTGGGCTTTTTCTAACCCTAATATGGAAAATGGAAGGGATTATTTGGGGAATCGATGATCAGCTTAGGAATTCTCTGGTTAATGTTAGGAAATTACTGCACCATAGAATGCCTAAATGTAGTTTGAATCAGCTACAAATTGACCAGGAATAATGGTTATTGCTTCAATTTTAATGGTCACTTCAGGACAGTGGGATCCCTGAAACCTGAAGCACCCAAGTTTAGCTGGAGGGAGGTTTGGAGTGTTGAAAGTCCCCAAACAGAACAAAGAAATTAAAATGTTGCCAGCCTTTAATAGCCACAAAGGCAGGGTAAATCAGAAAAAGACTCATGGACATGCACCCAAAGCTTTGAAACAGGAATGGGGAACATGCTTTCATAGTGGGTTGGCAAGAGCTCCTGGTGTTTAACTGTGAAACAAGCTAGGATCAAACCAAGCTGTCCTGGGCACCGAGAGAGAGAGAGAGAGACTCTGCTGCAGAAGAAGTCATGAAGGTGTGTATTTGGGGGGAGAGGGGAGCAGTTGTCGACCCCTTGGAGAATTCTTCCCCAAGGCCAAAAAACTCTCCAGAGAGGTGAGGAAACTGAGGCATGGAAATGGATAATGGCATGTTTATTCTTTTTTCCTGTGAAACCTAAGTAAATAATTTGTTTTAGGACTGTGTGCACAGTCTCTGGGTGTTATGTTTAATACCTATCATGTACCGAGGAAGCGTTACACTATAAATCCAGATTGCCGATAAGGGTGGGGTCCTAGGAGATGGTATCGTTACTTGGGAATCTGGGGGGGAGGGGGGTCAGCAAAGGTCCAGGGAGCCTAGGCCAGCTGGCCCCCAGGGCTTCATTTCTAGGGCAGGGGAACAGACAGAAACCCCATGCACAGGAAATACACCAAGTAAGAAACAGTGTTGTTGCTGATTTAGGCCAAGGTAAGTTTAAGAACACAGAGGTTCAAGGGACTGAACCAACTCAGCATCTGGTGAGTTTGTGGCTTAATCAAGGTTGTGACAAGATCCAAACATTCATGGACAGGCAGGATGGAGACCTTCTCCTCTCCAGTGAACTGATATTCATCACAGAGGGCCTTCTTCAACTCAGCCAAGGTTAGAAAAGACCCACCCTCCACTGTCAGATTAGCTGAGCCTAGCCTGGGATAGAGGGTTTGGATAATCCCCTGACCTGCACATGCATGCGTGCGCGCACGTGTGTGTGCGCGTGAGTATGCACGTGTGCGTGTGGGTGTGGGTGCATGCACTCATGCACATACGCACGCACATGCATACAGGTGCACATATACCACTGGCTTTTTAGATAGAATAAAATCTGCTCAAAGAGATCACCATTCCAGGAGTAATAAGAACCAGGGGAGAGTCACCATTAGCTCAGATAACAGGAGTCTCTGCTTTGGAGCAGGAATATCTGGACTCTTGCCACATCATTGCAATGGACTTCAAGGGGCTGTGAAATGTGGCCTGGTGATGATGACTGCCAACATTTTAGTTATCTGTGGGGTTTTTGCAATGTTTTCCAGATTTCTCAGGCCTCCATACGATGTCTCACAACTAGGATAAGTCTAAATCTTTCTAAAAAAGACCAGAGTCTGCTGTTGACATGAAAATCCTCTTTTTTAAACCCCCGTATACTCCTTTATCCTATAACTGGAAACAAATATTGTAAGCTGTATAGGTTCTGTTAGAGTCTCCCACCACTTTCACTAACTTTATTCCAGATCAGTTCCAATGGCTCCCCAGGAGGCATTCCTGATTTACATGAGGATGAGATGAAAATAGGTTGCCACATATCACAGATTTATTTTCCAGAGATTTCTACACAGTTTCCATGTTTTCTAACATATCTCAACAGGTGACTGCAATGCAAGCAAGAGGCCCCTGGGAAAATGGACATGGTAGCTTATTATGTTTGGATGCTTGTAGATTCTTGCACTGTTTGAACAGCGCTCTCTCTGTACAGGTCTTGAGAAATGGAGGTTATTTACTTTTGTCTCAGCAATGTGGGAGGATTCATAAATTAGGGATTTTGTACTAAAAGTGATGGATGTCACCTTGAATTGAACTCAGAATTTCTCTTTATGTTCCATGGCAGGGCTTTTCACCCAGTGAACTTTCAGGCTGGTCACATTTGCTGCATACTTAGTAACTCTTCCCAAGACAGTGAAACCTGGAAAGTGAATGGACAAGGTCTGTAGTTTGTAATGTCAGGGAAAGTTAAAGTCCACTCAGACTCTTAGGCCCCAACTCTGTTCTTCCTAAAGCACTAAACTCACTGTAGCAGCAACACTGTGCTTCAACTTGTCTTCAACCTCAGCTTGTCCTAAATAAGGGAAATCTGTTGCTATTTCTATCTACTGCTGTTTAAGCAGTATCTGACAGCCTGAAGTTTTTATACTATTGTGTGCCTCATAAAGACTGCCCACTGAATAGTAAACTCATTTGTCCACAAAAGAAGTACAGGCAAAACCAGACCCCTCAAAACTTTAGATTTTTGATGAGTGCTTTCACTGACAGTAGGTGAGTTTGATGACTCTTACTACCATTTTAAGACTGTTGATTTCATACATGAGATGAGGTCTCATAAGTGTTTCAACAATAAAAAATAAAGCATTAGTAACAGAGGTAGGCATGCAGACATTTGAAAACATTGGATGTTTGGTTTTTGTTCATATTTCACAAACATTAGTATAAACTTTTCTTTCTTCTACTCTAGTCAAATCTTTCTTGTCTAATCCTCTTTTACCTAGGAAACTTCCCCCTTTCTGCCGTAAGTGTTCTTGCAAATCATGATGTACTTCTCACCATTTTCTTCTCCAGTCTGAAATCTCCTCCAGAAGCTTATTTCTAAGCCTCTCATTATATTTGCTTCTCTGTTATGAACACACTCCAATTTGATAGCATCCATTCTTGGGCAAAAGGCCCAATACTAAACACAGTTCTCTGACTTTCTTATCAGTGAACATGAAGTCAGAGAACTATGTTTAGTTTAGTGAATAGCTCCCTTCCTGGGGTATGGATGTTTTTACTAGAAATGTCACATGTTCCTAACAGAAATGCCACATGGCTGATCATGGTTTCTAACAGCGATCAAGTAGAATTCAGAACAAAAAAGAATTGCATTTTAAATTGACATTTCTATTTGCAGTTTATTTGCTTTCTAACCAATAACTGTGGTAGTCATTGCAGACAATTCTGGTTTAGAAAAAAGGAGCAACTCAAGCTTGGCCATAGATGAATCATCCTGCAGTTCAACACTAGTGAAAAAGTGAGTCTCAGAAAGGGATGGAGACAACAAAGAAATGGCTTTTACTGTTTAAGTTCTCCAGATGGAAAGCATCTGTTTGCTCTTCTTTTCCTAAATATTAGCAAATGCTCCAGAATATTTCCCTATTTCCAGTATCATGCTGTGAAAGAATGAAGAAAGCTGGCCACTTGTAGAACTTGTGAAAGCCTGTATTCTTTTTAAACTATTACAATATAAAGGTTGAATGCATTTCTGCCTGATAGCTGCTGCACAGCCTAGGACAGTGTTTTTCCAACTTTGTTCCATAGAACCCAGGGGCTCATCATCATCATCATCATCATCTGTAATAGGTCATCAGGGGGTCTACAAAGAGATTGCAAGGCAAGCTAGGAGGCAGTGCACTGCCATTGCCAGGCTGGGGTGCTTGGCTCCGCATCAGTCTTTAGGACGGAGGTAGGTAAGCAGAAGTGACATGAAAAGGTTCTGTGATCTTAGAAACTCTGAAAACCATTAACCTAGGAAAATCCAGCTACTGGGCTATGTGTCTAGGTAGTCTACAGGTGGAACGTACCTGCAGCTACCTGCTTCAGTTGGAAAGCATCCATGCTGCTGTCAAATGAATGGCCTACGCTCACACAGAATACACTGGCTGGTGTTGCTTCATGAGGCAAGTACTTCTAAGGAGCGCACAACTGCTCTGCTGCTGAATGTACAGCATAGGATATAACATAGACCCTAAGGACTTCCATGACAAGTTAATGGGAAACAGTAATATAACGGGTGCCAAGAAGAGCAGCATCTAAAGGGTTAATCTGGAAATTCTCCAGAAAATTGTATACTATTGCATTATATAGATCAGAGAATAAAAGTGTAAAGTAATCCCAAGACTTTGCTCATGCTTGGCATGAAGGCTTCACTAGAGTGATAGAAACAAAGTAGAGTGCTTCCTGAATGCAGTGGGGATCACCTGAGTTGGCCATAAAAT